AGACATCTTAAAACGAAATTTGCTACCTCCATCAATGCGACAAGCAGTAACAGTTCTCATTCCTAAAAAAAAATGCAGGCTCCAGCGTTACGAGCGCAGACAACCTTAGACCAATCAGCCTATTGACTTCAGATTACAAGATCCTCGCCAAAATTCTGACTAAACGCATTGAACAGGGTTTAAGCTGTATTGTGGGAAATCATCAACCTTACGGGTTTAAAGGTAGGTCGATCACAACAAACTCCCACATAATGCGGACTATATGCGAAACGGCGGAGGCCGAACAACACCCCATTGCAGTGCTCCAGGTCGATCTTAGTAAGGCCTTCGATAGGGTGTCACACTCGTTTCTCTTTACACTTCTGGAACGATGCAGTCTTGGAGGGACGCTAACAAAGTATATTAAGATTTGCTACAGGGAAATCACTACTCGCTTATTAGTCAACGGGAACCAAACTACTCCTATAAAGGTAAAATCATCAGTAAGGCAAGGATGCCCAATGTCGCCGCTGCTCTTTGCGTTATATTTAGAACCTCTATGTAAAATAATTATGGCCGACGAGAGCATTCAGGGCGTGAATCTTGGCACCGGCCCAACTAAAATTCTAGCCTATGCCGATGATGTTGCAATTGTATGTTCGTCTAAGCGAGAACTGGAGCTTGCAGTAAAACATTTATCGGATTTCTCCAACGCATCAGGGGCAGTCATGAATATGTCCAAATCGACTGGGGCTTGGCTCGGCCCATGGATCACAAAACCCGAGAGGTATTTGGGCATGAATTGGTCGTGTTCAGTCTCTAAATATCTCGGAATTGAACTCGAAACTTTATCACTCAGCACCGGCCGAGAGGGCATTCATTTAAATAAGGTTCACGGAAAAATGAGCGAATGGCACGGAAGGTACCTTTCGTTCTTTAACAGGTCTTTCGTTTGTAACTCTGTATTCTTTTCGAGTGTATGGTATGCGGCACAGGTTGTGCCGTCCCGTCAAGTAGATATCCACAAGTTTCACACGATTTGTGCAACATTTATCTGGCAATCTTTGTTTGAACGGATGCGCAGAACTAATTTGTTTCTTAGCCTTTCCAAAGGAGGTATGGGACTCGTTAACTTAGAACTAAAGATAAAAGTAAATCGTTTTCTGTTTTTTCGGGACCAAATCCACCCGGTTCTGGCGAGATCCTTAAAGTGCCTAGGGGGACGATACCTGTCGGCCTGGCAAGTTAGTACGGAAGAAGCCTCCAGAAGGGCTCCCGTACTTAGGTTTTACAAAGAGATTGAAGACGCCATTACTTTTTTTCAATCACGTTTTTCTTGGGACTACTTAATCCAGGCGAATAGGAAAAAGCTGTATTGGGACACTATCGACCTGGTAATACCGCCACCAATGTATCGCTCTCCGCCGGAAAGCGTAGAAGGGTCTACAGTGTTTAAAAAACTGCGTAAATACCCGGTAAAAACATGCATAAAAGACTTCTTCGTAAAATTTCATACAGAAGTGTTGCCTGTTAAGACGTGGCTCGAGAACAAAGGGTTTCTTTTGGCGGGGTCTGTCAATTGTGCTTTATGTCCTTTCCAGGAGACTTTGCACCATGTATTCCTGTACTGCACAAATGCTGAAATATTCTGGTCGGAACTCCGTCATGCACTTAACCTTGATGAGGCCCAGCCGGATTGGGGCACTCTAAAATTTCTCCGTGTTGCAGCTGGTGTAAACCAAAAGTGCGTAGAAGTGTTATTTCTGCTCGGGATGCATGTGATTTGGAGATCCCGTACGGATCACACGCTCGTTGAAGAAAAAGGCAAGCCTGCTTGGAGCCATTTTGTCGAAGGCTTTTCCTGCACTAGTAACCTGTTAGAGCAAACGTGCATGCCCGGCTTCGAGCAGTGGTCCGTTATGCAAGCACGTTTAAAAAACTACATGGTGAAAAGAGACAAGTTCATAAATAGAAATTGTATAATGCTCAACTGATCCTATGAAAATTTGATTGGGTGGGTTTCTATACATGTGTGGCTTCGGCAATGGCCAAGAAGGCCAGCTTTTAACTCTGTAAATAAAAACGTTTTTTTAAATAAAAAAAAAAAAAAAAAAAAAAGGATCGGTGGCCGAGTGGTCTAGCGCACACCAGCTCGGAGCACGTGGAGCGAAAGCTCGCGCTGCAGAACCCAGGGATCCTGGGTTCGAGCCCCACCCCTGCCCGTTTCGATCTGGATGAGCATCGTACCGGAGTGCGGTCGTGCATCACTACTGCGTGGTGCACGTTAAAGAACCCAGGCTAGCGGCTGCACCGCACTGGCTAAATTTCTCATCTACAGCTGGGAGACTCGTCGCCCCTGTGAGGCAGACCAAGTTCTAGGCTGTATAAACACACACACAACCCAATTTTTTTTTTATCGACTAAAGGAGAGCATGCGCTTGCGCGTGCAAGTATGCGCGCTTGCGCGAGCACAGTGGCACGCGCAAGCGCATGCTTTCCTTTTTCTTTCGACAAAGAGCTAAAAAAAAAACCTTTGAAAAAAGAATGTGGGAAGAAAAGAAACTTTTATAGCGGCACAAGAAAATCTTAGGGACTAATGACGCGTTCGCGCCACGATCAGGACCCTAGCGGGTCGTTGCGAAACGCGTGAACAAAATAAATAATAAGAAAAATTACTTTTGACATCGGCACGAGAAGACGTTAAGGTTATATGCCGCGTTCAGCTCACGTTCGTACCACGTTCGCACCGCATTCAGGACACAAATTAGACCTTTATGGGTCGCGTGTGACAATATACTAAGGACGGTCACAATTGAGAAATTCCAATTTCCTGTTGGTCAGTTGCACTGACGTGACACTGAAGCAGTGATCTGGTCCACAGTCAAGTATACGCGCCGCTTCCATGATTTCTCACTTCAGCTTGCCCTCAATGGGTCCCACCACCTGGGTGTTGTCCAAAGCAGCGGAACACCCACACTCAGAGGTCGGCATTTTAGGTCGCCCTTACTCACCCTCACCCTCACAGCCACACTCACCTAAACCCCTCACTCACCCTCACCCTTACAGCTACACTCACCTTCAGCCCCTCACTCACCCTCACAGTCACACTCACCTTCAGCCGTTCACTCACTCTCACTGAACCTCACGGCCCTCACGCACTCACCGCCCTCACGGCCCTCACGCCCCTCACGGCCCTCACGCCCCTCACGGCCCTCACGCCCCTCACCGCCCTCATGGCCCTCACGGCCCTCGCCGCCCTCACGGCCCTCACGGTCCTCACCGCCCTCACGGCCCTCACCGCCCTCACCGCCCTCATAGCCCCCAAAGCCCTCACGGCCCTCACGGCCCTCACGGACCTCACTCACCCGAACACTCATGAATTTTCCTGGTTCAGAAACTCACTCACCCTCACCTCACCTGTGAAGATGAGGGTGAGTGAGGGTGAGTGAGGGCCCTCATGAGTGAGGTTTGCCGAGGTATGCCCACACTCCCTGCAGTGTATAGGTAAATATGAACAATTAATGGCCACTGCCGAGTGAGGCCGCGCGCTCAGGTAGCCTATCGTTCGGACAACGACCAGTCTGTCCGAAGTAGACTACCACAGCTCAGAGGAATCTCGTAGACGACTTCCTTGACACAAGGTACAAACCGCTTGGAATGCCTCGTATCTCAAGGGCCGTTCCTAGCTTTGGTCCCGCTTGACATCGCGCACAGTTTGGACAGTTTGCAGGGAGCCGTGAAGACAACGTCGACGTTGAAGTTTCTCCTACAAGTTTCAGATTGTGCGAGATCCTGTGAACATAGGGCAGCACTTCAAACTTGTTTGGTCTTTTCCTAGGTGCTGTGCCAAGATTTTTCATCTTCTTAAGCAGCGGTCTAGCCACTTCTCTCACCACAAAAGGAGGGAAAGCCGAAAGTTCCAGGCGAAGTAGCTGACGGTCGAAGCTTTCACGTACGGCGTGGGAACGGGACTTATGTAGAGCCGTCTTCTATACTTTGTGTCCCGTCCATTTTGAGCTGTTTTCTAGTATAGGAGTAAGCGAATAAATATACGTTCCGGAGTTTGTGATGAGTATGAAAAAACTATTTTACTATTGCTAGCTAAAAATGTAATGGCGAATATCATAATTTATACGGTTGGAAACTATTTTTTTTTTTTTTTTTACAGGATTTGGCTGATAACTTCGTAGAAAGAGCAGGGGGCGAATGTCGCAAAATTTTGGCGGATGATCGCTATATCAGAACGTCTTGTAGAAGCTGTATGAATGTGTGCTCAATCAATAACGTTAACTTTTGCAAAACAAAACGGAATGCATTATAATAGATTAGAATCCCGGGACTTGGGAGAACTAGGTGCGTCACGGCACAGAAGTCTCAAACACAGCGCATTAAACTGAATATGATACATGAGTGATTACAAGAGCACACAGTCCTTGTTCTCGTTCACTGTTCACATCGGCGTCGCTAACATTACGTTAGCTTTAGTTTTTTCCTTCGACTGTCCCTCGAAATATTGAGCATAAAATTTAGCGTTAATTAAAACGTTAACTGCAACAGTTTTTTTTTCTTTCATTCTTTGCGGTGTTTGCAGACGTGCCACTGCCACATACGCGCTAAGAGGCGACAGCTGGTGGTGCCCACATATAACCCCTTTGAAAATCTTTCTGGTGTGCGTAGTTCACAGGAAACAACCTGGGCTAAAGCAAATGAACGTCACACGCGAAGTTATGTACTTTTAGTGACTATGACCTTGTGCTCGTGGGTTGGGTTAGTTCTTGATTGTATTGCGCGATTTCAGGCTTTCAATAAATCGGTAATTGTAAAAAAAAAAAAAGATACAAGACATTTTCTTTTATTTGTGACTAATCGCAGGTAACATATAGAAAAACACCTTTACTTTGAGGGAATTTTTAAAACTTTATTTCGATGGATGTTGCGTGCGAGTACAACAAAAAATGGCGTGATGTTATGACTGGCTGACTCTGGGCTGACTTAGTGAAGACTGATGGGGGCATTGAGACCTGTTCTTCTTCTTATATGAGTCCGAAGGCCGCCCCTGGCCTTCAGAATCACTTCGAACGTGATTTTGAGTTTCTCCAACGGCCATGTTGGCTCAATGGCGTACTTCAAAAGTACCTTTGCTAGAAGTAGCTTCGCTTCAAGCATAGCAAACCTTTGACCTGAAAAAAAAAGTGTTTTGTGATTTTCTTTTTTTTTTAATTCGCTTAAATGATTGTGAACCACAAGAATGGGCACAAAAAAAATTAAAAATGTATTAAAAATTGGGATCACGCCGACATACTTTTTGTCCTTTCACGCCAAACTAAACACCGGGGAGCATATATATACTGGGAGCAGGTATGCGATTTTTCAGTGCTTATGCCTAGAGCTATACAGACACACATGACAGGTGGAAGGAATATAAAATTTATATTCGTTTTGGTTTAGATATAAATTATCGTTCATTCGTGCAGTAACTACTGCATGATGCGGGCAAAAGATGACATCTAAAAACTCGTTAAATAAACACGTGCAGCCCGTACACGTTGCTGTGTTTGCAGCAGACTAGTTTCACATTGCCTAAATATCTGTAGGAAGAAAGAACAGCAAGAATTTTGACACGTATGTTAAGTCCTGTCTTTCGTGTTCTGCCACAACATTGCAAAGTTTGCAAACAAATGTGCACGTGTGTAAGTATTCCTACGTCAACTTGTGTCGGAACTATTCACCAGACAGTTCAACCCAATTTTCGTTACACCGATTTCAAGGCGTCCAGTACAACTGAAAGCACAGGCACAGGCATACTGCTTTGGATAATGTTACAAGAAACACACCAGAAATAGGCAACGTACCTAGGCAGTTCTTGGGGCCAGCGGAGAAAGGTATGTAGCTGTAAGGATGGCGATTCATAATTTCCTGGCTCATGAATCGCTCCGGAATAAAACTGTCCGGATCTTTGTAACAGTCGGGGTTTCTGTGAAGGCTAAAAATGTTCACGAAGCACCTCACACCCGTTGGTATTGTGTGGCCATCTGCAAAGAAAGGGAACGAGGCCGTTGTGAGAGAATGTGGGACAAGCATACATTCTCAACGCATGGTGAATATTTGCAAGCTATACTCAGGGATAACGCGCGAAAGACCGCGCGAGCACAGCTTTGATCGACGCTCAATATGCTCGAGAGAAGTGGCACCCGATAGCGTTGCTTCAATTGCCAGGAAAAGTTGCCCCCAAAGTATTGCGCACTGGGTGTTCCGAATTTAAGATTTTGTGCAGTGACTCCTATAATTTGCACTTGCACGTTCGGCACTAAAAGAGATGAGCACACGTGATCGATGGCCAGAACATAATCGCGAATGCACCGAGAGTTACTGTGGCTAGGCCGTTTCCACCTTCTAGTCTCGGGGGTGCTTCGACGAAAACTTATCGTTTGCAAAGTATGTTTTTTTTTTTGTTAACTAAATGAATACTGTCATTTATAATAATTTGACCATTCAGCACCAAAAAGATTATCAATGACGGTAAAGCGATGGAATGAAAATAAGATATAGATTAACGAACGCAAAAAGCGACCCCATGTGCAAAGCCACATGTATGGCGGGCGGTATGCCGAGGCAGAGAAGAGTAAATCTGGAAGTGCGCTTTGGGAAGACGGCTGTTTGCCCACACGTCCTATACTGCAGGGGTGGCACCTGCCGGGCAGTTTCGTTCCCTTCAGTGTTGGTGTGGTTGCAGCGCCGCGTGTCACTCTTTTGTCGATCCGGCAGTCGCTCATGTCTGCTAATCTCTTCTAGTGCTGACTGTGGGGAGTAGGTATAAATCAGTTGATATACCCTTTTCTTACCTATAACGAGTTCATGATCCAAAATCCTTCCAATCAAAGGAAATGGGGGGAAAAGACGCATGGACTCCTAAAAGAAACAATTAAAACCATTTGACGCTCCATAACATGCCACATAAAACGTATCTATGTCCGATTGTCAAACCCAAACAAAGGTTACCTTCAAGCAGCACTCGAGGTACTTCATCTGTTTGAGGTCGTCCGTTGTGATATGTCGGTCAATATCGCCATCGAATATCTGATCTAGTTCGTGGTGGACTTTGGCCTGAATCTCTGGATGAAGTCCCAGCATGTACAAATTCCAGCTTATGGCTGATGTAGTCGTGTCGTTTCCCTGCGCACACGGAAGTGGAAAAGTGTTATTGAGCGGAGTGCCTATGGCAGACTCAAAACAAAATAGGTCAGCTGCTATAATAGAACACTGTTGTAGACAACCTGCTGAGCGAGTTTAATATTCCGGCAAACATTTTCACGCTGGTCCTCAGCAATTACTGTAGAAACAGGGTACCTGGTACAGAGACATAATTGATTTAAAAAACAAAGTACAATTGCTTCTCTGTAGATAGCGCTATTGCGGGTAGGTATCTTAAAGTTACGCGCAGGGTAACTTTAAACTAGTATAAAAACTCTTTGTGGCAATAAAGTATTTACAAATTCTGAGACATGATAGTTTTTTGTGGTTGACTATATTATGAATACGTGCTTATTGGTACAGTAGTATCTTCATTAAGCCTGGCGAATCTGGTTTATCCGGCGCATCAGAAACAAAATCAAGCCTTACCTCTAAGTTCAATTCTTATATTGCCATCTAGGTTTTACATTTTTCTTAGTTCTACATTTTCTTTTTTTATTTCGATATTTTGAACCTGTGCATGACTTTTTGGTTCTTCAAAATTATAGTGACTGTGAATAGAACAAAAATGAGCACGAACGGAAACCAGGACGTTCCGCAAGTTAAAAAGAGTCAACCTTACCGCATTAAATAATACGAAAATAGTACAAATTACGAACGACCAGATAATAAATTTTAAATACAATATTTTGTGTACACCTCATAAATTTGAAACTATTACAAGTAAAATAAATTGATGCCCTTACCCCGAAGAGAATAGTGTCGATGTCCTTTTTCACCTCCTCGAGTTCATACCGATTCTCCTGAAGATGTCTTTTCAGCAGTGCATCCAACAGTATGCTGTCCCTCTCGGAAGCATGATTTATATTGTTTTCCGGCTCCAACTTTGAGATGACTTCGAGATCCTTGACTTTGTCTAATCGGTTCCGCATCGCCTAAATCAAAATAAAAATGAAGTTTAGTGAATTCTGGTTAAACATTTTTGGTTCACTGCATAAAATGTATGTAGCTCTGGCACTTCAGACCTCGAGGTCCGAGGTCAAGATCGAGATTCTATAAATGTAGTATTCATAGCTTGTTACTCATGGAACTTCTCATGACCTAATTGAGTTCCAGCTTTTGCCTCGCACGATAGAGCGTAAACGTGTTTTCTTTTATGACATCCATTACCACGGGTATATTTGAGAATCCACAAGGAAACCACATCCTGAAGAGTACTGTTATTTTTATGAAGATTTGCACCGCATAAATGCGACTGGTGTGACATGGGGACGGTGGCCGAAGCGAAAGGTATCTGAACTGTGCGGCTCGCCATGGAATAAGTGCGTCGAAGGCTCGCTCGCATTCCTGACAAATGGCATGAGATGCACAGCCTGAATAGGGGCTCGAGAAGCCGCACTTATTCGCGTACACGTTCTCAAGGACGCGCGCCGCACGGTTGCATCTGCGCGGGGGCCCTAACACGATAGTGCCCCTGCCGGGAGTTGCGCGAAGCCCGAGTGATCCCTCTCTGGCCTTGTTCAGAAACTTCTCTGTTCTTCCACCGTCGACACGACTGAGGCGAAGAACTGAATTTGTGATACCATTACGCAACAATATATTTTTCAAATGCATTGTTTAGAAACGAAATCGATGTATGTACACGAAAACTCCCGCGCTCATGACATGGTGTTTAGAGCTGAACATTCGTGCTTAACAGCTACCAAACATTTTTCAAGCAGATATATGTTCTTACGGAATAGCTGAAGGCCTCCATATTGTGCAGAGTCTCCTTGAAGACCCTTCCCTCGGTCGTCATCTCATAGATTGTCTGTAACCAGGTCCAAGGCCTGAAGCATCGTACGGAAATCAGGAACATTAACCTGGAAAAGAAAACAAATACCACCGCTAAACATGATATTCTACAGAGCGCACTGCAATTTTTCGTGCGGATCTCAAAATGTCAAAGCCGGATAAAAAGTTTTCTACTACCTGTTAAACCAGATCATGAAGTTTTCATTCTTGTTCTCTTGCAGGCACAATTTTGTTCCCATTGTGACCTCTGCAAAATAAACCATGGTCTAGATCAAAGGCGTTTTACGTAAGCATGATTGACGCCTATTCATTAGCTATCGCGCACTGCGGGACAGGAGTGAGTACAATAAACGGAACACCTTTATTTTCGCTCCTCGGATGGAGAAATGCTCCACTTGTGGCTAAAACTTGGACACTCAGCGAGAAAGTCGACGACTTCGGCCACTTTCTTGTCAAGTGTCCAGCATAGGGCCCTTGGTCTTCTCTGCGAACAAAGCTTCCCAAAGAAGTAAATATTTGAAAAATTTGTGAATACTCACTAATGTTTGCGAAATGTAAAGCCAAATACAAATACTAAAATTGATTTAAATAAATGGGCTGCTAAAAAAAAAAGACACGACAAATATTGAATTTTTTCTCCTCCAGGTGGCCTCGTCGCGTATCCGATTTCCGTGCATGCGGATGAGATCAAACTTCAGTCGTATTTTAGCTTTGCAAGAAACGTCCGAAAAAGTCGAAACGGGGTCAAACTTGAATCTGAGCATGCAAGTTCGCGACATCTCTACATAAAAGTTGTACAGACGCCTTTCGGCAGCTGAAGGCCGCTGTAGGTAGCAAGCCCCCATTCTTAATTGTTTCACTTTTTACTAAAACAAGCTCATTCTTTGAAATGTGGATATATAAAATGCTCCATCTTTCTTTGTCAAATATAAGCTTGATGCGTTAAGAAACCAACTTATGTAGGCCCTTCTAACGGCCCTTGAACCCACGCTGCAGATTTGAGTCCGGATAGCTATAAATAAGGACGCATGATATTGTTGGAAATATTATACTTCAAAAGGAAGCACACAGCGCTTCAAAACGGAACAAAGCTGGCAAGTGAGTTTTAAATCACGTATAGACGGAAGCCAGGAGCGGTTTCATGCATGCGAACTTTGCGCGAAAGTGGTTTTACGTCATTTACTCTATTTTCTCGTCGGCTTTTAACGCGATAGCGTAAAGACTGTTTCACATGCCGCGATTCTCGTCCGATATTGGTGCGATTTCCCGTAAATGTGCGATTAAAATCGCAGTCGCACTGCCGCAGCGGCTCTGCGACTGGTTTGCACCAAGTTGGTAATTTGCCGAAGACTCGTCAACCAGCCGTTCATTAGCCAGATTTCATCGGCTCTTGCTGCGTATTCGAAGATAAATTTAGACACCGGAAAGATTTTGGCTTAATGCTTAATTAATATACATTTCTAGTTACATATTGTCTTCATAAAATATTTGTCCTTATTCAGACGCTTTTGTTATATTTTAGGCAAAGTCGAACGCACCGCGTCCGTGTCCGCTGCAACTAACCTTGGGTAGAAGAGTCAGCCGCGCCGACAGAAATCGCGCGGTTGTTGGAGAATGTGAAACCGAACATTGGCGATTGCACTCGTTGCGTCTGCTGTCGCACCGATTTTTTTTTTTTTCGCACAGTCGCCGCATTTGAAACAGGCTTTAAGAACATCGTGTCGCAGAAAATCGGTCGTCGGCGTCGGCGTCGGTGACACCGAAAAGATCCTGATTAATCGATAGTCATGACGTCACAACCACGTGTGACGTCACGCGAGATGATCTCTCGCGGGAATTTCAAACAACCCACGACGCTCACATGTGACATTACGTGACACGTGACGCTACCGACTAGACCACGCACGTACGCTTGGGCGGGTTTGTGAATGAGCGCGGGTTTGTATGAAAAGGCTTTGCGAACGGGGCCCGATATCGCTATCGCATTTCACTCAACGACGAGCCTGGGCGTCATTAATAACTGGGCGCAACTTGCGCTCTAAAACGGCTTTTTTGCAGGCACGTGTGCGCATCACTTCTCCGGACGTGAAATTGAGCAGGAAGAAAATGAATGCCTACGTCCGATAATGTCCAGGGCGCACTTCTGCACGTTTTGGAAGAGCGGAATGGCCTCGTTGGGCGCTTCGTCGAGGAGCGCACCGATGCGCTTGGTCAGCTGGTCTCCGTTCTCATTGAAGATCTGCATGTAGTTCTCGAGCGCGCGAAAATGAAATGCCGGCGTCAGCAGTCTCCGCTTGAACCGCCAGATGTCTCCGGTCCTGCGTAAGCAATCGTCATAAAAATTTATTTGAGAAGTTTTTTTTAACGACGAGGGTTGTGTTGATATATTGTTCAGTGCTCTTTAATAATAACATCGTCGCTCGGTTTCTAATATATTATTCTATTGTAGACTACGCACACCGAAATTGGTCATTGGTAGCAGCTGGAATATATTCCCCGGGCTGAGTTCCGATTTGGGAGTCATAGCTTCACCTCGTAGTTCAACCAGTAGAATTAAGGAATGGTCTAATAAGTGCCAAAAGGGACAATGTCGTGGTGGCATTACGTTTGGGAAATGCTCTATGCTGCTAACTAAATATTTTCATGAATGGTTCATGTCTAGTGTTTCTACGTACGCCGTGAGTATGTTCCGTGGGCCTAGCCACGATGTGAGGAAGCTGTACTCGAATGTCTTGCCGTGGTTGCTGGTGCTTGAGAGCAGCGTCTGAAGTTTGAAATCGATTCAATTAAGAACGGTGTGTTACTGGAAAATAAATGAAGCAAATATGTCTTATTCACCTCTGCCGCTTCCGGGCTGTGGATCACTACGGTGGGTGATATCCCGATGTAAGCCTTGAAAGTCTTGCCCTTGTACGTGTCGCACACTTCTCGAACTATGCCGAAAAATACTAAGACAAAAAAGGCACTTAGTAAAAACAGGGAAAGTCAAGAACAAGGAATGCAATCAATAAACTAAGACGACAGTTGCCTTGCACTTGTCTCAGTTTAATTCTACACTGTTCAGGCAAAACATCAAACCTTAAGATAGGACGAATTGAACCTTGGCACTCGTTTTATTCCGCCTCTATACAATAAGAGATACCAACAAGAGATATGAATCGCAAGTTAAATGAAAGTCTCTTGCGTCTCTGAACTAAATTAGCTTTGACTGTTAAGCCAACTTGAAACTCACGTGTTTTTTTTTTTTGTTTTTTTTAACTCTCGATTTCGTTTTATTATCGACATTTCTTTTAGGTCGACTAACGATCAATTTTTCTTGCTGGAGTAGCACAAACCGCTAGATTTGATCCGAACGTAATTGAGGACGGAGTGAGTATTCCGAACAGAAGTATAATAAAAAAACACACGCATAATTTTTAAACTTCATAAATAAAATCGCAAAAAAAGCTCAGTTACCAACCGTGGCAAAGTACCTTAACACCAAGCTACCAGCCCAAATGGTATAAAACAACGGTAGACTTACATGCAGTGGCGTCTTTAACTTCGACGCCCTTCGCCAAGCTTTTTCGGATAATGGATATTGTGAACCAAAAGGGAATCAGGTCCCACGGTCCTGGTATGGGTCTCAAGGCCTTCCAGATGCGAAACCATCGAACGACGGGCAGGACGACGAAGACACAGAGGAGCGATCCAAAAATCCACGGGGCTAGTCGCACGAGTATGGCGTCAAAGTGCACAGAGAGCAGCGGTATCAAGACAAGGCCCGTCTCGTGGACAGGTCGAAGCTGGACAGATTCAAGACCCGTAAGCTTGGTATGAATGACGCCGGATCCTACAGTAACCGTTTCTGGGTTCGCGGGCTGCCTTAAATGGGCCCGAACGGCGTCATCAACGCGGACACAAAAAGTGGGCTGCGTAATGTGGCGGGAATGAGAAGTTCTGTGTCACGTGGTCCTGTCACACACCTCCTCGTCCGGCTGCCTCCTATGGTGGACACGTGTCGCAGTTAATTCGGAAATAGCAGGTTTCTTGTGGCCGCGCTCTGGCTGGGAGGATCGCTGTTCTTTTGTCTCCTTTGTCTGGGAAAAAAGGGTATTCCCATCACCGCCCCGGTAGAGAGAGGATTACGAGACGGAATGTCCAACGAGCCTGAATGTCCAACGAGACGAAAGATCCAATAATGGATATTCAGGCACGTTGGACATTCAGGCTCGTTGGACATTTCGTCTCGGTTGGATCTTCCGTCTCGTTGGACATTCAGGCTCGTTGGACATTCCGTCTCGGTTGGATCTTTCGTCTCGATGGACATTCAGGCTCGTTGGACATTCCGTCTCGGTTGGATCTTTCGTCTCGTTGGACATTTAGGCACGTTGGACATTCAGTCTCGCCTGTCACGTGCTAGAATAATTTGCCCTCTTAAATCTACAGACTTGTGTGTATATCTAGTCCGCGTTCCTGCAGGCATTGCCGTAGCGACATCATACTAAAATGTCGTGCCACAAAAGCCGACGTTGACGGACCGACAAAAAAACAGAGCAGACACAAATATTATAAATTCATCTATAGGAAGACTTGATGGTTAGTTAGCTGAGTGCCGATGCGCAGCTATGTACCAATCGGTTAAAGGTGTTGACTGTACGACGCCAAACGCTCCTTTGATATTAACAGTTCAAATGTTTTGAATATTCTGATGACATAAGTCAGCCAATTTGAAATATATAATAGGGATGCAATTTACGGGTGTTCTAGTGGATCGCAATTGGGGGACGTCTATAAAGGCCGTGCTTCAGAACCCAGGAATTTCTAGTTCAGTCCTCATCCCTGCCTACATACGGAGATCCGCATTGCAAACACATGACCGCCCGCCAGCGCCACTGACTATGCGCAGAGTCAATATTTAATTTTTTAAAATGAGCTTTGGGAGCTGTGGGTGCGATGCATCAGAGTTTCCACAAGCGTAATTTCCCACTAATAAAAAAATATAGATATCTTTTTTTTTTTAATAAAATCTACATCTAACGCGCTTGTAAATGCATGGGGGTGGTGGCTGGTGTGACCCGACAATTCCTGAGTAAATGCGGAATAATTGTGTGAATTTGCGAAATTTTTATTTTTGTTCGTTTATCTTTGGGACAGACAACTACTCACTGTACACTTTAGTCGTCAGTAGTTTACATACGCATCCATTCTCTACCAATAGGTTTGTATGTCAGTGAGTAGAGCGATAATACTAGTATCACACAGTACGCAACTTTTTTTACCTTTTTTTTTGCATGTGACATGCACAGTGGTTTTCAGAAGCCCATGCAATTTAACTGCCTTCTGGAAGCACTCCAAAACTCGCCATTCTGTCGAGGTAGTTCATGACGTCTTGGTAGGTGGGAGCTTGACTGCTGATAAAGGACGCGAACGCATCTATCTCGGCGTGCAGCAGAAGGTTCACACCCGGATGTACTAATAGCCTGCATCATGTGTGAATATAACAATAGATCGTTCCACGTGGCTTTCTATTCTTGTAGGGGAAGCGTATTGCACGACGAATCCGGTCACTTCGTCGAAATTCCATTGGTCTCTGGACAACTGGAAGAAGGACAATTCGTCCCGATTCGAAGAATGGGGCAAAAGTCCGCGTTTGTCGAATTGTCGAAAAGAGTTGATTGGGGTTGGGTGTGTAGATTGCCGGTGACAGTGGGGGTCAACAGTTAGACCTTCTTTTAAAAAAAGAGAGGATGACAAATGCAGCTCTCAGAATTGGCAAGGGTCCGATTGTGAATCGTACCCGGGTTATTCAAGATGATAAATGTCGGGTTCTTCGTGAGTATACGTTCACTCGCAACTCTAGCATTATGGATTTTGGGAAGACCGAGCGAGGGGCTGACCTCCTGATGCAGTGGTCATATGTGCACTTGTAATGTACGCATATGAATAAATAACGGTCGCACTGTCGCAGCGGCTCTGTGACAGAGATAGAACCAGTTGAAATCCGATCGCAGCCTTGGTATGCTACCTGGGCGCGTATCGGTGCGATTGCTGCATGCCATGTGACCAGGAAAGGCAGAAACGATGGAAGCCAACCCAAAAAAGTATTGTAATAATTATTAATATTACCTACTTGTTGCTTAATACATGGTTCAATGCGACAGCAATCGCTTTGGTGGCCGAAGCATGCGAAACTAATCGTCGCGATAAGCGTCAATGTGCCGAATCCTCCGCACAATCACCAATTGAGGAGATTAGCTGCACAAAGGCTTAATGGAAGAAACGTTGTATTGGCTTAATGGAAGGAACGCTGATTAGACTTCTCGGTCTGGGGACCGAGAAGTCTAATCAGAAATGTCTAAAACTTTCACGTTCGTTCTGTAAAAAAGAAGAAAACAAAAACTACAATTTAGAGTAATTACACATACTACAACGACTTCACCTAATAATAATTATAATACCAAAAATTCAATCAGGCGCTTTTCTCCCATGCGAGGGACATCATCTTTGCGGGACTAGGGACACGAATAAGAAAAATCAGCAACTCGTACAATACGGAAAAAACGGTGGCTGAGGACGCTCGTGGGTCCCACATTTGTTTCCGCTCCAGAGGTACGACCTTCTAAAATCAAACGCGTGACAGGTTGTCAATGGTCAACGAGTTCGGTCTTTGATCTTGTAGCATGTGTGACCTTTTAAACGTCTTTTTTTTTAAATTTTAGATATCATCTTTATATCTAGATATATAAAACGAACAATAAATTAATTGTTTTGGGGATTTTATAAAGTCTACAAAATATACGAGCATAATTTTAAGTTCATTTTGGGGACTTCACAGAGGCAACATCATTGAGACAAGCTCAGCGGCATACCAAAATAGCCGTCCATCAAAAATCCCGGTACTGAAAAGCCCGGTGCTGAAGCGATCACATACCGAAATGATCGCGTACCGACATCTCCGCACCGAAATGTCCGGTTCCCCATTTCATCGAACGCATTTTTCACCGCCGTAACTATCAGTAATCCTACAATTCAACAAAGAAATGTCTTCTAAATTCTTTACAAGGTTCATTCTATATCCGTTGGATATTCAGACTCGTTGGACATTCAGGCTCGTTGGACATTCCGTCTCGGTTGGATCTTTCGTCTCGTTGTACATTCCGTCTCGCCTGTCACGTGACCGATTGGACATTTAGGCTCGTTGGACATTAAGTCTCGTTGGACATTCAGGCCATAAGCGTAGAGAGAGGGGTTATTTTCTGGAAAGGGCAGCGCGGCCGCCCTTTTCTTGTGTTAGAGGCAACCGCGAAGGAGTGTATCAAATTCGGTTTTTTTTTCTTCAGATTTTCGCACGAGTCTTAATGCGACCGATTCAAAGGACAATCGCGTTTTGATGCCGCTGGCACCGGACCTTGCGCTGATTAAATAAAATAAAGCGTCAAGTTTAAGAGCGCTCCGGAGACCTTTTCGTTGTATGTGTGCTTGGATGATGATGAGCTCAAATCCGCAGAGAACGCTGACTGCTCCTTGAACACGAAGAGAAGGACTACTCTAGCAGTCTGCCAGCGCTGGCGGTTTTATCTTCGCGACCGTTTTTAGGTGACATTGGTTCAACGTCTGTAGATGTCCTCCAGTGATATGGGCGATGTACTCAGCTGATGCCACATTGTACGGAGATATCCCGCGCATTAAAAACAGAAAGGTATCTTAATCCTACGAATAAGGTTGGGAAACACAAAATGTGTAGCGTGCTTATGGTATGCGCTGTATATATATATATATATATATGTATATACTGTTGTAAGTGTTGGACCTATAACGTGGTTTCAATGTTCACAAAGTTAAGTTCTTAGAAAAAACGACCTTCCGGAAACGGAGAAATTCTAGAAAAAAGCCGTCTTCCAACTTCCGCCTATCTCGCCTGAATCACTGGCACTTTTAGGAAGGCTCCTTTCCAGTTTTTTATTCGCGGCAACTACGCTTGTGAGTTATACGTGTGCCGCGACAATTAAGTTTCTCAAGGTAAAGATCTCATGGTGAGGTCACAAGAAAGTAACCATAGAAATTTAAACATCCTTTCGAGGGGATATGTTGGCGTCCTTTATCCAACAAATAATTTATTAAGACATTGGGAGGTCCGAAGCCGAGAGCAGAACGCAGGTAGCCCCGTGCTAATTAGAGACGTTTGCGGCGCGACCATTGTACTGATTAGGCTGCGTGATTACGTCTCAGGTTTCTCGTAAAATCCACCAGAAGAAATGTCTTTAACGAATATACATGTCTGATAAATGCGTCCTTATTGCCAAGTAGGCGTTTATATATAAAAAGTCGAGAAAGGTGCGAGTGTCGTGGAATCTTTGCCGTGTTCTCCCTTACATCTCGAACAGGGATGGGCAGTATTTCAAATACAACTATTTAAAATACGTATTTCAAATACTTTGCTTATTTTGCATTTGTATTTAATTACAAATTGGGTAATGTATTTGACGTTTGTATTTAAATACTAAAATGTGGGTTTTTCAAATACAATTGTAATTAAAAAAAATTTTGTGGGCGAAAATACATCCCTCAAATTTATTGTCACGACTCAATTAGCTCATCCTAAGACGTGTCTAGAGCAGGAAGAAAACTACGTTCTGCACCGAATGCAGTGTCTCTCAATCAGTCACAAGCGTTTAGTGACTTTGTGATTACGGTGCTGGTCCAGGGCAAGAATAGTGACGAAATCGACGTTCACAGGCAGACTGGCCAAGTAAGTGCCTGTGACAACTTGTGATGCTTTCCAGTCTGATTTCCATCTATACTT